GGATGGGTGTGTCAGAGGCAGTGCGATTGGCACAGGATAGAGCAGGGTTTAGGGCTGTTGTACATAGGATCGCTATGAGTCGCAAATGACTCGACAGCACATAACAACAACAACAGGCTTAAAGGAAAGTGAGTCTCTAAACTTGTCTGTTCTGCTTTCCCAGTTACTGCTTTCTCCCCTCTAGAGGAGTGAGGTGACTATGACCTTGAATTTGGTGTGAATCATATCTTTGCTTTTCTTTGTCATTTTGTCACATAAGCAACCCGTCCTGCCTCTTTCTGACCTTTGCTGTAGGAGTAGATCCAGGCGACGTGGGCTTTTTTATGACTTGCATTTTTCATGGGTCTTTGACCTTGAGAGGCTTTCTAAGAGCTGAGTTAGGGAGTCCGTTTTAACAGCTGGGCCACGGTGGGAGTTCCCCGTTATCCATACCTTTCCCTGTACATGACACCCTCAGTTCTTGTCTAATCTGATTTGAGATGTTGTAAACAACCCTGTACATATGTCCTCGGGTCCCAAGCAAGAGTGCTTCATAAACTATCTGCTATCGATGGGGAAGCGGAGGCCCAGCGCTTCAGCTTAGAGGGGCGCCCAGCCTTGAATTGTGATTCACTTCACTCCAGAATCTGTTCTGAGACATGGCTTTGTTCCCCTTCTTGGGGCCCCAGGGAAGCTGGACTGTGGGGTAGATGGTCATGGTCTCTCAAGGCCCCACCATTGTTCTGTCTCTGTGGCAGGGAAGGAGTACTGGCCATGCTTCCCCCAAAGAAAGCCCCCTTCCTGGGACTTTACCTTTGAGCCTCTGCCCCTATCTCACCTCTCCAGGCATCCCTCCTAGTGGTGTTTTTATGCCGTGACCTCCGTGGGACACATCCCCCCCCCCCCGCGCCGAGCTCACACCTGTCCTGTGTCCCCCAGTACTAACTAGAAGCAAACTATTGTAATTTTTATTGCAATATTTGTAAGAGAGCTTTTTCTCCCTGCGCCTCAGTTTCCCCATCTGTAAAACGGACGTTACTTGTGGTTCTTTCTTTAGTGATCGGGGAGAGAGGTGAGAGCTGGGCACGCGTCTGTCACATGGTGGTGGTGGTGGTAGGTAGGAGCCCTTGAGTCATTTCTGACTCCCGTTGAGCCCGCGTATGAGGGAGGAGACCCTGCCCGGTCTTGTACCCTCCTCACGATTGAATTGCTGTAGTTGTAGCCCCCACGTCAGTTCATCTTGTGGAAAGTTTCTCTTTGTTGCTGACCGTCTGCTCTTCCAAGCGTGCTGTCCTTCTCTAGGGACTGATCATGTGGTCAGTGATCACGTGAAGTGTTCCTGACAGGTGGTGGGGCCGGTCTTTGACCCGGCAAAGGTATCAGCTCAGAAGGGCCACGGGAGACCCCAGTGGGAGTGGATCCTGGCTCTGCCACTTGACTGTGTCTCCAGCTGACGCTCTCACTGCTCTGTGCCTGTTTGTTCATCTGCAAAATGGGCAGAATAGCAGTCTCCGCCTCAAGGTCTCAGAGGCTCTCCATGCAATGATGTAGAGAAAGGCTGAGTGAATATTTGGCAAACTGCATGCTTGACTTCTGGGCACCCCGCATCTCCTCCCAACAGGCCAAGGGGCAGTTTAAGAAGCAGTCGGTGGCCAACAGTGTGGAGATCTCTGTCCCTGTGCCCAGCGACGCTGACTCCCCGCGCTTCAAGACCAGCGTGGGCAGTGCCAGGTACATGCCGGAGAAGAACGTGGTCATCTGGAGTATAAAGTCCTTCCCGGTGAGCACGGGGCCAGGCGGGCTGGGGGGCTGGGGGGGGGGCTGGATGGTGGGGGGCCTGCAGAGAGAGAACTGGAGACCCCAAGCTTTGTCTTTAGAAGGGACTAAAGGTGGAACCTAGGCCACATGGGGGTTAAGCGCCCTCTCCTGGGTTTAAACTCTCCACCTTTCTGAGCTGAGTGGATTAAGGGAGCCCATGCCCCCAGGGGGTCCTCAGTTGTTCATCTCTGAGGTAGAAGGGGTAACTATGACCCCCTCTTCAGGCTTGGGGTCCGACAATTGGGAGGTGGTACTTAGAACCCCCTCCTGCACCCCAGGGCTGTGATGCGAGCAGCCTGGCTATGAGCCATTAGCCTCTATCTGTGAGGTAGGTGGAGGGTGGTCCAGGGGTACAGGGACCTGTGTGTCTGACGCCCCCATGTACCCACAGGGGGGTAAGGAATACCTCATGCGTGCCCACTTTGGCCTCCCCAGTGTGGAGAAGGAGGAGGTGGAGGGCCGGCCCCCCATTGGGGTCAAGTTTGAAATCCCCTATTTCACCGTCTCTGGAATCCAGGTGAGGGTCAAGGCTTGCTCCTCTCCTCCCCATCTCCCCCCACAGTCTCCCCACTTCTGCTCTCAGCCAGAGCCCCTCTCCTTCCCCCTTCCCCAGCCTACTTTGACTTGTGCCATCTCCACTAACTTGTTCCTTCTGTTCCCCCTCCCCCTGCCAGCAAGCCCTTCCCCACTGTCCCCTGTGCCCCTCCTGCCCCATCACGTCCTGTCTGTCCTCTTGCACGGTGCCATTTCTCTAGTCACACTCACCTTTCCCCATCCATGGCACCCCATCCCTCCACACCTGTGTATCCTCCTATCCCAAGCAGCTGCCCAGGATGTCACAGATGCCCCTGTGAATCTGGTCGCCTCATTCCTCCCAGCCTGAGTCTCCTCTACCCCCAGTCTGGGCCACCTCACTCCCCTTGGTCTGGGTCTCCCCTTCCTCTGGCCTGGATCACCACTCTCCACCCTACTCCAGGTCCGGTACATGAAGATCATTGAGAAGAGTGGTTACCAGGCGCTGCCCTGGGTTCGCTACATCACCCAGAGTGGCGGTAAGGAAGCCGGCTTTCCTGGATGGGGGCAAGGATGAGGGATGCTTGGGAGAATGGGGGACGAGGGTGGGGCTGTGGGACAGAGACAGGGATGGGAGACAGGGTAGTGAATGGGGGATTGGGGAGAAAGGGTGGGAAGGGGGACTGAGGGGAATGGAGGATGGGGTGGAGATAGGGGACAGGGTGATGGGAGACAGGGGTGGGATGAGGGATAGTGGTGGGTATGGGGGACAGGGCGGGGATGGGAGAGAGGGGTGGGAATGAGGGATGGGGTGGAGATGGGGGTCTAGGAGGACTGGGGGACAGGGGCAGGAATGGGGGGACTGGGATGGGAATCAAGGAGAGGGGTTGGGATAGGAGACAGGAGTGGGGATGGGAAACAGTGACAGGAATGGGGGACAAGGGCTCAGATGGGAGATAGGGGTGGGCATGTGAGAATGAGGTGAGGATGAGGGACAGGGCTCAGATGGGAGACAGGGGTGGGGATGGGGCGGGGATTTGAGACCTGAAGTGTAGGATTGGGGCCTCAGGGTTTCCACTACGTTCTGGCTCCAAAACTCAACAGGCATGGATGCAGGCAACCACCTTTGTCACTGTCTTGCCCTGGTTCCTGGTTTGCCCGTCTTTTCTTTTTTACCCGTCTTCACTTTTATCTTTTTTAAAAAAACTGTGGAAATGTACATAGCAAATTGGGTTCCTATTTGGCATTTTCTACACAAACTGTTCAATGTCATTAGTTTCTTATTTCCTGATGTGTGACTATTCTCTTTAGTTCCGTTCTGCTTGTTCCATTTCCAGGGTTCTAGTTTCCCTGCCCCATTATCTTCTCATTTTCTCTTTTCAGTATTTGTTGATATGTTAGTGTCAGATGGTGGTTTGTTTTTGCTATTATTTTCTTTTTATTATTATTTGTGTGTATACCGTCAAATCAGATCTGACTGGTATGGGAGGAGATTGTCCCTCCTTCTCCAGCAGAGCATCTGGTGGATTCGAACTGCTCACCTCTGGGACTGCAGTGTACCTTCTTGCCACTAGGCCACCAGAGCTTGCCTGTCAGATGGTTTTTAAAGGGAGCACTGTCCTCAGGGCCTTTTCTTTGGCCTATCTTTAAAACAGAAATAGTTCTCAGCTTTTGAAATGGAGCCCCGATGGCATAGGAGGTTCTGTGTGGGGGCACTAACCAAAAGGTTGGTGGTTCAAATCCAGTGGGCCTTTCTTCAGGAGAGAGATGAGGAAGTCTCTTCCTGTAAAGATTTACAGCCTTGGAAGCCCAGCGGACGGTTGTCATGCGTCAGAGTTGACCCGATGGCTGTGGGCTTGGAATGTCAGCTGTCAGGGGTTCTTGGGGTTTGGAAGAAGGGCCCAGGCATGCAGGAACCTTGCTGCTGCCTGGAAACAGGCCTGTAGTTGTGGTGATGGCCCCCTGGCAACCTCGCGCTTGACTATGAGCATGGGTAATGGGATGGTTTTGGGGGTGCTGCCCCTTTGCTCCTGCCTCCAGTTCAGAGATTGCCCTGTTTAATTTCCCTGCAGATTATCAACTTCGCACCAGTTAGGAGGCAGAAGAGATGGGGGCTTGGACTCGGGGAAGTGTGGAGTCTCTGACTCGCCAGGCTCTGGCTGCCAATTTGTGTGTTGGGCCAGGAGTGAGAGCAGGTCTCCGACCTGGCTGTGACTTTCTCCCAGCTCTCAGCATCAGGCCCCCAGTTTGCCTCTTTCTGTCCCCCCCTCCTCTCCCTGCTTCCCTCACCCCTGGGCGTTTTTTGATTTATATGAAGAAATAGTGGAGGGGCCTGAAGTCCCCCACACGAGTGCATCAGGCCCCCAGTTTGCCTCTTTCTGTCCCCCCCCTCCTCTCCCTGCTTCCCTCACCCCTGGGCGTTTTTTGATTTATATGAAGAAATAGTGGAGGGGCCTGAAGTCCCCCACACGAGTGCCTTCTTGCAGTGACCTGCCTTAGGGGGTGTCGGGGCCCCTCCTCCCACACAGCTGCTGAGCCCAGAGGCCCCACTGCCATTCATTTCTTGGTGTTAAAGGATGTCATTAAAATTATCAGTTTAGCCACTATGTGTGTGCTTTCTTGGCTCTGTGTGTGTGTGTGTGTGTGTCCCTGGGGTGCTGGGATAGGAGTGGGCAGCTCGTGTCCCTCTTCCCTGCCCATCAGAGCTCATCTGGGCCATGCAGTCGCCTCCACCTGGGTCCCCTCCCTTCATCTTTGCTGGTCCCTCACAGCCTGTTCACCCTCCTCCAGCCACCAGAGGCCTCCTGTTAACGCAGAAGTCAGTTTAAGCTCCAAGAACCTGAGGTTACAAGTTCTCGCTTCTGTTCCCCCAAATCCACTAACCACTTCATTTTTTTTAATATTTAACTTTAATTGTGATTGTAACGAATCTTTACAGAAAAGTTAGATTTTCATTCATTCATTATTGCATATTTTTACCCTCTATCATTCCCTTCCCCCACCCCAGTTCACTTTTAAAATATTCATTCATTGTTGTACAATATTTTACCTTCTAAAACAAAACCAAAACCACCAAATTTAATTCTTTAAGACCATGTACAGTAATGCTTATACTAATTCAACAATTTCTGACCTTAGAGTAATAAAGAGAATTATGACACAATATTATATTATTACGATTGCTGTTACTTCAGAAATGGCTTGCCTCCGGAAACTCTATGTACAAACAGTGCTCAGGCCTTTCGTTCATAGGGTCGCTAAGAGTTGTCTATGACTTGACAGCACCTAACAACAATAACAACGACGACAGAGAGACAGCTACGTTGGCCTAGTGGAATGAAAGTTATGCTACCAAGCCGACCGTGGGTGATTTTAATCTGCGGCCTTCAGGTCGGGTTCAAATTGTTTTTCTGTCAAACATTCTTCTAGGTGGTATAGCACTGGGCTGTGCACTGCTGTACAGAGGTAATTCGTGGTTGCTGTGATGCTGAACATGGTGATACTGATGTGCCAAATGTGGTAATGGTCACCCATGGTGGACAGTGTTTGCTGGAGCTTCCCAACTAAAACAAGCCTGGAAGCAGGAGCGGCATCCACTCCCAAAATGGCTTGCCTGTGGAAACTCTGTGTACGAACAGTGCTCAGGCCTTTCGTTCATAGGGTCACTATGAGTTGTCTACGACTCAAAGGCACCTAACAACATTATGAACCAGGGCATGGAACCAAACTTCCTAACCTGGATGAAACAGACACGTTCTTGGTGCCACACTGCCAAGCAAGGCGAACTCCAGGGGAGATAGAAAGTCTCAAGGGCCCATAGCAAGTGAATAGATCGGTTCAGACAGTGATGAAAAACTTGTCGACAACGGAAGGGACTGAGCCAGATTGCTTCGCTGGGAGTTCTAGTAAACCTTCAGAAAGCTGGCACCAATGCTCTTTAAACTCTTTCTTTAAAAAAAAAAACTCTTTCAAAAGGTAAGAGAGGGAAGGAAGGAATACTCCCTATTCTAGGAAACAAATGTGACCTTGATCCCTAAACCAGAGCATAAGAATAGAAAATTGCTAAGAGTCCCTTGCTTGTTCCCAGACATTAGACCTAAACTGGCTGTCTGTCTTCGGGGTCTTTGCATGGCTGGTTCCATCTGCCAGGCATTCACCCCCTTTTGTTTCCATCCGTCCCCTAGACTACTACATTTCATTTGGCTTCCTTTCTCAGGGGATTGTAACTCACTTATCCCACTTTATCGGTTTCATCATGCTGAAAAAATGTCATTATTGTTTTCTCCCGCCCTAAAAGGAAGACCCTATGGGTGCCTGGTACTCCTTAACTAAAAAAAAAAAAAAAACACACCACAAAACCCAAACCCAACCCACTGCCTTTGACGTGATTCCAATTTGCAAGAATCTTCCTTCAGTTTCTGAGGCTGTAAATCTTTGTAGAAAGAGCCTCATCATTTTCTCATGGAGTGGCTGGTGGATTCAAACTGTGCATCTTTTGGTCTAACACACAAGGCATCATAATACCAGGGATCCTTTAACCAAAAAAAACACCTCCTTTGGGTTAACAGTGCAAGTCTCTACAGACTAGTCACCAGAGTACATGCTAAACTGCAAAAAACACATTGCCATCAGGTTGTTTCAGACTCAGTGACCCAATAGTGTCAGAGGCTGTAAATGTTCGCAGAACACTGCCTTGTCTTTCTCCCCTGGAGCAGCTGGTGCATTTGAATTACTGACCTTTTGGTTAGCAGCTCAACAAGCTTTGTACTATGTTCCTGAAACAAACTCACTGCAATGTTTGTGTTGTTTTTATTTGTTTGTTTTTTAAATTTTACTATTTTTTTGTGTGTGGAGCAAGGAAATGGTCACAACATTAAACCTTTGGCCCATTCTGCCCCTGGACAAAGCTACAAATGCTTGTTTAGCAGCCGGGTGCATTCTTTAGGAGCAGGTGTGAAAAGTGAATAAAAATGGAAATAAAACAAATATCCAAATAGTTTCCATAGGAACACAGGCATCACCCCATCGCCTAGCCTTCCATATTGTTGGCATCTGTTCCATCCCACCCTACTCCTCTAAAGACATTTCAGAACTAGCAATAATTAAGTTAAATGGTCCCTTCACTCAAGCTAAACATGGAGATCACAGCTACCAAAAATGGTCATGATTACCCATGGTGGACAGTGTGTGGTGGAGCTTCCCAATTAAAACAAGCTTGAAAGCAGGAGTGGCATCCACTTCTGAAATGGCTTGCCTCCGGAAACTCTATGAATAGTGCTCAGGCCTTTTGTTCATAGGGTTGCTATGAGTTGTCTACGACTTGACTCTACTAACAACAACCGTCAAATCCGATCTGACTGGTACAGGAGGAGAGTGTTCCTCCTTCTCCAGCAGAGCAGCTGTTGGATTTGAACCGTGGAGAGTTGTGGGGTTTTTAGAAAAAAATTTTTAAATTTAATTTGTGTGTGTGTGTGTGTACCGTCAAATCGGATCTGACTGGTACAGGAGATGGCCTCTCCTTCTCCAGTAGAACATCTGGTGGATTTGAACCGCTCACCTCTGGGATTGCAGTGCAGGGAGTGTTGTTTTTTTTTTTTCTATCATTGTTGTTAGTGTGTACTGCTGAATTGGAACTGACCCTCCTGTGGGTTTTTAGAGGCAATAAATCCCACGGGAGACTGCCCATCTTTGTCCCTTGGAGCAGCTGGTGGATTCAAACTCTGTGCCTTTAATCAACACCATTGGGACCAGCAGTCAAGAAATCAAAAGACAAGTTGCATTGGGAAAATTTTCTGCCAAGGACCTCTCTGAGTTGTGAAGGAGTAATGATGTCAGTTTAAAGACTAATTGCATGTGATTGACACTTTGTCCTCTTCAATTGTTATGCATCTGAAAGCTGGACAATTAAGAATGACAGAAAAGGGGGAATTTTTTTTTAAAAAAGACACTAGATGTCTTTGAGTTGTGGTGTTGGAGAAGAGTCCTAAACAGACTGTGGTCTGCCAAGAGAACAAACAAATATGTCTAGGAGAAAATGCAGCCAAAGGTACTCTCTGGAGGAAAGGATGCCAAAGCTTTATCTCATATGCTAGATTTGAACCTGCAGAATTGTGAAGCCTTTGGGTTAACAGACCATGCAACTAGAGCCCCCTTCAGTTCGTGGTTGTTGTTATGTGCCTTTGAGTTTTCTGCTACTCATAGCAACCCTATGTATAACAGCTCTGAACCCTGCCCTTCCTGAACCAGCATCACTGACTCTGACACATCTACCCCCATTGCCCTAGTTACTTTATCAAGTCATCTCATCCAGGGTCTTCCTCTCCTGTGCTGTCCCTTCACCCTTCCAATCATGATGTCCTCCTCTGAGGACTGGTTCCTCTTGGCCACATGCCCAAAGTACGTGAAACAGAGCTTCAAAATCCTTGTCTCCAAGGAGAAACTTGGTTTCACCCTTTCCAGACATATTTGTTTTCTTGGTGGTCTATAATATGTTAAGACTCTTCTCCAGCACAACTCAAAGGCATCAGTTCTTCTGTCATCCTTAGACATTATCCAGCTCTCGGATGCACAGCAAGTAATTGCAAAGATCATTGCCTGGATCAGGTGCACCTTAGTCTCTAGACTGACACCGTTGCTTCTTAGTACTCTGGAGAGGTCCCTGATAGATTTTCCCAGTGCAATTTATTTTTTTGGTTCCTGACTGCTGGTGCCAAAAGTGTTCGTTGTGGAACTGAGAAAGTTGTAATTGTTAACAACCTCAATCTCTTCTCCATCTATCATGATACTGCCAACTGGCCCAGTGGTGAGAATCTTTGTTTTCTTGATGTTGAGCTTCAATCCATTTTGAAGACTAGAGTCCTTGACCCTCTGCAGCAAGTGCTTCAGGTCTTCCTCAGTTTCTTCAAGCAGGATTGTGTCATCTGCATAATGTAGGTTGTTGATGAGTCTTCCTCCAATCATGGTGCCACACTCCTCATAGAGCCCAGCCTCCCGAATGGTCCGTTACGGTAGTTGTTCTGTAAATTTTTAAACGGAGACCTCTAGCGGCCTTTGGCGCAGACCTTCTGGTTTGGCGGGCGGGCGGGCTCCCAAACCTAGAAAGTGATTTCTTCCCCTCACCCTGTTGCTTGTCATTACGATGCTCCGTGCTACCTAAAATCACTGAATTTCATTACATGCACTCCCCAGCACCCCGCGGGGAAGGAATGAAATAGCTTTGTTCATAGAAAACCAAACCGGGCCCGGCCCCAGTGCCATCCTGCCTGTTCCAACACATGGCAACACCCTAGCTGATTTCTAAGGCTGTAAATCCTAACGGGAGCACACTGTCTCATTGTTCCCCCTTAGGGGATCAAACTGCTGATCTTTCTTTAACTCACTATTAGCAATACCACTCAGAACAAGAAAGGGTTAATAAATGCTTCTCGTGAGACCGAAAGGTGGAACCCTGAAACAGGCAGCCTCAGCGTTGCCTCCTCCGCCAGGTGCTCAGGTGCCGGACCAACACGCGACACCCTGCCCCTGACCTTACTCCCCTCGGTCAGTTAAACCGGCTGTCTTTCCCGCCCGCCCGAGTAGTTTGAAAAACCAAAAACCCCGCCATTGCCAGTTGCAGCACCCGGGCCAATCAGAAGCGGTACCGCCCACGACGGCTCTCGAAACCTCCTTGGTAACGCAAGGCCATTGGCTGCGTCGGACTCGTGGGTGGAGCGCAGCGAGGTCGCGCTCCGGGCAGCGCCTCCCAGCTACACTGTAACTAGTTCGTAAGAAAACAAGGAGACGGTGTGGTTCGGGGGCGGGGCCGCGCCAGCGTTGGCTCCGCCCCCGAGGGGCTGGCTCGGCGGCGCCGGCGGCGCCGGCTCAGAACAGACCCCGCCCGTCGAGGAGGAGGGAGGGTGAGTTGGGGGGGAAGACCCGGCCCCCAAGGGGCGGGAGCGGGCCGGCCCTATCTGTCGCCGGGGTTGGGACGGGTTCCTAGCCCCTCGGTGGCCGCTGGCTGACAGGGGGAGGAGTCGTGCGGGGGTCGCGCCGCTGCAGCTCGAGACGGGAGCCGGGCCCGGAGCCTCCCTTGCAGGCCGAGCGTGCTGTGTCCAGGCCCCGGGAGTGTTGCTCGGCCGGGGTGCTATCGACCTCCCGGCACTGACCGGCTGTGCGGCGGGGGGCTTCGCAGGCCGCTGGTGTGGACATGCTGCTGGAGGAGGTCCGTGCCGGTGACCGGCTGAGCGGGGCCGCGGCCCGGGGCGACGTACAGGAGGTGCGCCGTCTTCTGCACCGCGAGCTGCTGCACCCGGACGCCCTGAACCGCTTCGGCAAGACGGCGCTGCAGGTGAGGCCGAACGGGCCCGGGGCGGGGCTGCGGACCCCAGCCCCCTGGCTCTCGAGGGGACTTTGGGGGTCTTGCCCTCCAATGCACTGCCGCCGCTCCCCGAGTTCCCCTTTCGTGGGTGGGTAGGGTCGGGGGGGAGGGGGAGGGCTCCCCATCTTCTCGAGGATTCCTGGTTCCCTGGATTGAGGGCGTTCGCTGTCTCAGAGGAGGTCCTTAATCCCTCACTTGGGGTTCATCTTCAAGTTAGGGTTTCGTGGAGATAACTTCACTTTCTTGGGGCTCCCTAATTTATGGGGGGAGGCGACCCCTAAAAGGGGGTTTCATGTTTCCATGGTAGCCCCATTTTTAGGGGTTCTTATCCAATCACTTGGGGAAGCAGATCCATCCTGTCTACGTAGTAATGGTTTCAACCTGTGCCCATAGTATCTGGGGGGCGTTTCTTGGCGTTGTCTAGCGAGCATCCCCCATTACGTTGCGGGGGGGGTGGCGGTGCTAAATATTCACTGGAGGGAGGGTTTCACATTACCTGGACATGCCCTTTCACTTAAGGGGGCTGTCAATTTTTTTTAATTTTTTTTTACTTTTTTGGGAAGAGGGATATAGTTCCTGGAACTCGGGGGTTGGGGGGGCGAGGTGATGATGGGGGAGGTCTCTGGTTTCTCTTGGGAGCTGGGTCGTTTCCTTGAAAGTGGCCCAAGTCCCTGGAAGGCTCTCTAGTGTTGAGATGTTGGGGTTCTTGTTCCCAGTAGACTTAGTCTTGGGGGGTAAGGGTCTCAAATTGCTCCCTAGGAGCTGTTTCCCTTTTCCCTAGAGGGTCCCTTCCTGTTCCTGGAAGACCCTTCACTCCCCTGGGGCCCCTTTTCTGGTCCCCTTCCTTGGGGAGTCCTTCATTCTCTGCCCGCCCCCTTACCCCTCCCCCCCCAGGTCATGATGTTCGGCAGCCCCTCCATCGCCCTGGAGCTACTGAAGCAAGGCGCCAGCCCCAACGTCCAGGACGCATCGGGCATCTCGCCGGCTCACGACGCTGCTCGCACAGGGTTCCTGGACACGCTGAGGGTCCTGGTGGAGCACGGCGCCGACGTGAACGCGCCCGACGGCACGGGAGCGCTCCCTATCCACCTGGCCGTGCGAGAGGGCCACGCCGCGGTGGTCAGCTTCCTGGCCGCCGAGTCCGACCTGCAGCACCGCGACGCGCGGGGCCTCACGCCCCTGGAGCTGGCGCGGCAGAGAGGAGCCCAGGAGCTGGTGGACATCCTGCAGGGGCGCGCGGGGGCGCATCGGTGAAGACGAGGGCAGACGCACTTTCTCCCCTCGCGCCGACGCCCACGCCCCCCGGTGCTCAGGGGCAAAGGCGGCAGCTTGTGGCTTGTTGGTGTTGATTTCTGGGGTGTGTGTGTGTTTGGGGAACATTTCACGTTTGTTTTTCTCACTCCTTTTGGTGTGTTGGACAGAGAGAGGCTCCTGCATGCAATGGGCGCCTAAACGGTTCAGTTTCCTCGACTCCCAGGCCGCTGGAGATGCGGGGCCGCCCGGGTCCTAGGTTTAAGTCCCTGCCCCGCAGTGAGGTCATCCATCCCCGGGCTCCTGGCACCTGCGATGTCTGCCCGCTGCGCCCCGCCACCCGAACGGGGTGCATTGCTTGGGCATGGGGCGGGGCCGAGTTCCAAAAAACAACGGGTGGCATGGCTTCTTTCTGTTTTGTTGAAAGCCTATTTTCCAGCCTCTTGTACAGTGTTGAGAAAAAAAAAAACAAAAAAAACCCAACCCAACCCAACCCAGATTCTATTTATTACGCTTTATGGAAAAAAAAAAATCGTTGCGTGTGATAATTTAATGTTTTTACCCATTAAATTAAGATTTGAACATGACTGCGGCGCAGGGGCTTCCGATTTCTGAGTCGGCGACGGGGGTGTTTGTGAGGTGGGAGTGGGGTGTTCGGGCGCAGCAGGGGGGAGGGGAGCAGTAATTCCCAGGGCGGCAGAGCTGGGGTGCTGGGTGGGGCCGCGGTTTGCGTTGTCGGAACGGAAGGGAGGCAGGAAACCGCGAGTGGAGAAAAGGGCCCCCAGATGTCAGCTGGGTGCCTGGAGCCCCAAGGGTACAGGAATGGGCGGTGGCCGCGGCCTTCCCCGCAGGGGTGTGGCCCGTGGGCGGAGTCTTCTACACGGAACGGACGGGATCCCGGAAGGGGCGGGGCGGGCACGGCCCCTTTAAACCCGGGTGGTGGGCGCGGCCTCGCCCCCAGGAGAGCCGCGCGCGTGCGCAGTGGGCCGCAGAGACGCCATGCCGGAGCCTCGTAGGCCTTCGCCTCTGCGCGTGAATGCGGCGTTCGCCGCGCGGTACGGCCGCTACCGGGAGCGCGAGGAGCTGCAGCGCCGTGAGTGCAGACTGCCGGGCAGGGTTGTGTGTATGTGTGTGTATTGGGGGGTTGTTGAGTCCACCGAGACTGACCTGCGGGATCTGGGCTCTGCCGCAGTCAAGGATCGCTACGGGAACCGGGATGGCGGCAGCGACTCGAGCTCCGAGTCCGACTCCAGCGATGAGCACGTGGTGAGCCTCCCTTAGGGATGCAGGAGGCATCTAGCTCCGTCCGCACCCTGATCTGAGTCCACCCCCCCAATTCCAATTCCATGCGGGGCCGGCCGCGCCCCCTCATTTGGCGTGCCCAGATACCTTCTTCTTTCTTTGCACCTGCCCACCTGGAAGGAGCAGGGGTGCCAGTCTCCTGTCTCCAGAGCTTCCATGTGATTCTCACCCACTAAGAATTTGGCAGCGCCTCTCTGCGACAGAAGCGAGGCACCTCTGCCACGTGTGTCACCCAGCTTCTCCTCTTGTCAAGCCGGATCCCCTCGATGTCCCTGAGCAGACACCCCACGCCCCGTCTCCCACCACCTGCCCCTCGGAAAGCCTCTCCTCTTTTCTCCCCATCGGTTGTCATTCTCAGTTGTCTCCTCATCCTCCGTCCCATTTCCTGTCCACATTGCTTGGACCTCCCTCTGGTGGTCTGACCTCTCCAACTTAGACTCATTTTCAGATCTAGTCCCCGGAGGAATCCCACTCCCCAGACTGACTCACTTACCCCCTTTCCTTCATTCTCATGAACATCTCCTTCCTTCACCCTGGTCCCCACAGCCTCTCTGCCCTTCCGCTATTACTGTCCCCTCTCCTCCAGCTCTGGCTCTCCCATGATGCCCACCACCCATTATCTTGCCCTAGGAATTTGACCCACAAGAGGAACGGGACTTTTACAGAACTCTGTCCTTGTTGAAGAAGAAGGACCCTCGCATTTATCAGAAAGATGCGACCTTCTACCAGAAAACAGGTTCTCAGCACCCTATAGTTGGCCTTGACGAATGAGAATCTTTTCAAGTTCAAAGCACTTAGCCAGTGTCTTAAACTGTTAGCTGTTGTTAGCGGTGTGTTTTTCAGCTCTCCCTAAGTGTGAGGTGCCGTTCAGAGTGTAAATTACTGCATGAGTGATCACAGCTCCACAGCGTAGAGCAGTTAATGGTGCCTGTTTTCCACCTGGGAGTTTCTGGATTTGATTGACCTTGGCCCTACCCTGTAGGATCCTCTCCCAGGAAAGCAAGGGGGCTGTGGGTAATGACTGGAATTTTGGGGTGCCTACAGCTTCATCTTCGGAGAGTGAGGAGGAGTCGGAGGCTGCAAAGAAGCCGAAGCCGCAGCCCATGTACCTGAAGGACTATGAGAGGAAGGTCATCTTGGAGAAAGAAGGGTGCGTGGACACACTGAGGTCTTAGGGGTACCCCTATCCCAGAGTTAGAGAGCCCTTCAGAACAAGAGCCTAGGTGGTCACACCCTCGGTGGCCCTCCAGCTGCCTGTAACAGCTGCACTCGCTCGGAGACAGATGGGCCCTGGGAGGAATATTCTGAAGCCCCTTACCTTTCTCTTCACAGCAAGTATGTCGATGAGGATAACTCGGACGGGGAGGCTTCTGATCAGAGACGTCAGGTAGGTGGAGTGTGGAGACTGGGCAGGGGCTGCGAGCACAGGGCTGAGCCTGGAGCTCACATTCCCTTTCTCCGCAGCATACTTTCTCCCCGAGTTACGCCGAGGAACAGAGACAGCTCAAGGAGAGGTGAGCCTGGACCTGTGGGTAAGAGCTGATGCTCTGGGATGGATCCGGGTTCATATCCCACTCTGACATTTAGTATCGGTGTGTGTGACCTTATTCTGTGCCTCCGATTCCTTCTTTGTGGAATAGGGTCACTAGTACCCTCTGTGTCGCAAATCCCTATGAACCCTTCCAGGAAGCTAGCTCAGGGCTTGATAAACAGGGGAAACCCAGGACAGTGTGTGCAGCCAGCCTGCCTGTCCTGAGCCTCCTTGTCTCCTGTGGACAGCTTCCGGACGTTTGTGGAGGACAGCGAGGATGAGAACAGTGCTGAGGAAGGCAGCTCAGGGTTGTTGCAGAAACGTGCCAAAACCAGGGAGGAAAAGGTGGGTGCTGGGAATGGATGGGGGGCTGGGTGAGGGTCAGGCCAGTCAGGCTCTGAGCACCGGCCTTTTTCCAGGTCCAGGAGGAGGCCGACTATGTCGAGTGGCTGAAGGGGCAGAAGGAGATTGAGAACCCAGAGACCCTGAAAGAACTGGTGAGTTCTCACACCCGTCGCTGCCAGGCTCAGCAACCTGTGCCGCCTCTGTTCTGTCACCAGCTGCTCCCAACCGCTTTCTAGAAACCAGCCACTGCCTGTGTAGCCAAGAGCTTGTACTGTGGCAGCACAATTCCTGTGGGTGCACCCATCTCTGAGGCTTAATTTCTGCCCAGTGGAGGTACACCCACACACTTCATAGGCTGGCTGGGATGTTTCGGTTACCTCCTGGTGTCATGCCGGCTCTTCTGTCCCACCCTCAGGGGCAGGGATGACGAGATAACATAGGCCTCCGCCCTCACCTTGGTCCTGCTTCATCCATCCCTAGACCCACCTCAAGGACTACTGGAACAACCCTGAGCTGGACGAAGGGGAGCGGTTCCTGAGGGATTATATTCTCAACAAAGGGTATGAAGAGGAAGGAGATGAAGACGAAGAGGAAGAAGAGGAAGAGGAGGAGGAAGGGTAAGTCCTCAGGTTTCCCTGGGGTTTGAAAGAGTCTCACCTGAATAGGTGAGTCAGAAGCATGGTTCTGGGCTGTCGAGTCGGACCTTACTCATAGCTGACCCTCCAGGGGGTTGTCAGAGGCTATAAATCACACAGGAGAAAGTTGCTTATCTATTTCTCAAAGAGCAGCTGGTGGATTTGAAGCTCCCTTTTTATTTTTCTTGTGTCCCGTCGAATTGGATCTGACTGGCACAGGAGATTGCCTCCTCCTTCTCTAGTGGAGCATCTGGTGGATTCGAACCTCGCGCCTTTGGGATTGCAGCACAGCTACTTCTCCAGAGCTCACTTTTTCAGCATTGTTGTGGTGGCATGTACTATTGAATGGGGACCCTCTGATAGCTGACCCTCCAGCTGGTTTTCAGAAGCTCTAAGTCCCACAAGAGGAAGTTGTTTATCTTTCTTCCAAGGAGCAGTGGGTGGATTTGAACCACACACATGCCTTTGGGTTGACAGTGCAGCTCCTCACCACTGGTCCACCAGAGCTTCCCCAGTGAGTGTGGTAGGAGGGGGGAAATTCAGAAGGGCGGATGCCACCCCATCTCGCTCCCAGTCAGACCCAGCCCTTCCCAAGGGTTTTGGGTTTGTTTCTTCTTTATTATTTTTTGTGTGTACCATCAAATTGGAGCTGACTGGTACAGGAGGAGATTGCCCCTCCATCTCCAGCAAAGCATTTGGTGGATTTGAACCACATACCTTTGGGATTGCAGCGCAGTTTCTTGCCACTAGGCCACCAGAGCTCCCTTTCTCCTCCCCAGGGTTTCAGATCACTAGTCCCCTCCCTGAGATGTTCCCTCGAGTACAAGCCAGAAGGCAAGAGCAGCGAGTTCTTTGTTTCACACAGATGGTGGCAGACGAACGCTCTGAGGCATGTGGTCCTTTAAGCCAGGTGGCATGGGCTCAGAGTGTGCCTCTGCTGCTAGATCCCCATGCCTCAGTTTCCCTCCCATCTGTGTGATCATAGCATACTTGTAGGGATAAAGGAGTTAATCACTGTAGCTCTCGGACACGGTGCATGAGTGGGCGGCCCCTTGTGGCAGCGTCTGACCTCCGGCCCTGCCTCACCTCTTCCCTCAGGACCCTTGGCCCCCCGGTCCAGCTGGCTGTGGACGACTCCTCAGACGAGGGCGAGCTGTTTCTGAAGAAGCAAGAGGACTTTGAGCACAAATACAACTTCCGTTTTGAGGAGCCGGACTCTGCCACAGTGCGTGATTGGGGCAGGGAGGACCTGGCTTGTGAGTCCCGGGCCTCAGGACTTGGGGGTCATCCCTTTGGCCATCCTGCTGCCCCTAGGTCAAGACCTACCCGCGGAGCATCGCATCCTCTGTGCGCCGGAAGGATGAGCGCAGGAAGGAGAAGCGGGAAGAGAAGCGGGAGCGGAAGAGGAGGGTGAGTGTGGAGACGCCCGTCCAGGGGGTGCCCGCGGGTGGTGGCCAGCTGGGAAAGCTCAGGCCCTGCCTCTGTCCCTGGCCGGCCGGCCACCTGCAGGAGAAAGCCAAGAAACGGGAGGAGCTCAAACAGCTCAAGAACCTGAAGAGGAAGGAGATTCTGGCTAAGCTGGAAAAGCTGCGGCAGGTCACGGGCAACGAGACGCTGGGCTTGGAGGAGCGGGACCTCGAGGACGACTTCGACCCCGCCAGGCACGACCAGCTCATGCAGGTGCGGCCTGAGCCCCGGCTCAGCTCCACAGCAGGTTCTCAGATGGGTTCTGGATTCCAGTGTCGTTCCCTGACGGCCCCTGAGCCGGTTTCCCTGTCTGAAGTGGGTCGGGTCATGTAAGCTTAGATGGAGATGCACACACCGGAGGTAACTGGGAAGTGTTTGAGGAACGGCAGGTTGGCCTGTCTCCTTTAAACCTGTGTGTTTGTGTTTTTTAAAAAAATTTTATTATTTTGTGTGTGTACCATCAAATCGGATCTGACTGGTACAGGAGGAGATTGCCCCTCCTCCAGCAGAGTATCTGGTGGATTTGAACCACGCATCTCTGGGATTGCAGTGCAGCTTCGTGCCACTAGGCCACCAGAGCTCCCTTAAACTCGTGTTTTGAGCATTTTCTGTTCATCGTGATAGTTGGGAGGATCCATCACCGGGCCGTAAGTGCAGGGCCGTGAGCCGAGCCGGAGCAGCAGAGCAGATAGTGGGAGGCCCAGAGAGGAGGTGCAGCCACACCTGAGGGAAGGGGTTGGATGTGTAGACGGGAGAGTGGGAACTGACATGGGCAAGTGCTGTGCACTTGCGGTTCAGCCTTCACCGTCCAGGTCCTTGTGGAGTTTCAGTCCCTTTAACAATAGTTCTGGCCTCTCTGGGAGGTTGGAGCTGAGTCTGCAGCTCTGCGCACACCCACTGCCGCTGAGTCACCTCCACTCCTGGCGGCTTCCTGGGGTTTCCGAGGCTGGGGTCTTACTGTGGTAGATGCCTGTCTTGGGCTCCGCTGGCTGGATGCTGGGGGTCTAGCAGGGGTCCGTGCACAGTCTCAGAAGTGGCAGAAGCTGATATAATAGTCACTGAGCACCCCCGAGACAGGCATGATGTTCATTTATAATGAGAGATGTTTGTGTGGTGAGGGATGTGCAGGGTTTGTGACATCTTTTTTTTTTTTTTAAATTTTTATTGCATTATTTTTATGTGTACCGTCAAATCAGATCTGACTGGTACAGGAGATTGCCCCCTCCCTCTCCAGCAGAGCATCTGGTGGAATTGAACCGTGTACTTTTGGGATTGCAGTGCAGCGTCTTGCCACTAGGCCACCAGAGCTCCCTCGGGTTGTGACATCTTAAGAGTCCTGTCACCCGGCTACTGTCGGTGGGGATGGCGAGGGGGTTAGGCCTCAGGGGAGGAAGGGACAGGCAGTGAAGATAAGCGTGGTGGCCTGAGCAGCGGCCAGTTAGAGCAGGGCCATGTCCCTCCGGCGGATAAAGCGTGTGCAAAGCCCACAGGGAGGGTGGTTTGGGAGCCAGATGGTGACCAGAACAGCAGGAGGAGGGAGCCGGGGGTGGCTGGGTTAGATGACCCTGAGACAGGATGGTGACACATGGGCTCCCCCCAGTCAGGCGGGAAATCTGGAGATGCTGGGGACCCACAGAATGGGCAGGACTAAAGCTGTGTGGGGGCAGGCCAGAGCCAGGGCCTTGCTGACCCGTGTCCCCCAACCTTGTAGAAGTGCTTTGGCGAGGAGTACTATGGCACCATGGAGGAAGAGAAGCCGCAGTTTGAGGAAGAGGAAGGGCTTGAAGGTGAGGACAGTGGGGCTCTGGGCGGTGGGTGTGCGGGGTTTGCAGCCCGAGTTCTTGTCCTGACCCTGCCTTCCTTCTCTGGACCAGATGACTGGAACTGGGACACGTGGGCTGGGCCGGAGCAGGACGGGGCATGGGGCCAGCAGGACCTACACTGTGAGGACCCTGATTTCAATGTAGGTGCTGAGGGACCAGGAAGGGAGCCGGGGGTGGGGGGGGGGGGTGGAGTTAGTTCCCTAAGGGCCCCAGGGGCCTGACCTGACATGTGTCACAACAGATGGACGCTGACTATGACCCCAGCCAGCCCCGGAAGAAGAAGCGAGAGGCCCCCTCGACAAGCAAGAAGAAGCGCAAGTCCAAGTCCCCATTTGCCGCGGCTGTGGGGCAGGAGAAGCCCGTGTTTGACCCTGGTGCGGCTCCAGTGGGTGGGCCGTGGAAAGATGGGGCCCCTCGGGGCCGAGGACACCCCTGTAGCCTGGCTGTTTCTTTGCACAGGGGACAGAACGTTTGAAGAATACCTTGATGAGTACTACCGACTGGACTACGAGGACATCATTGACGACCTGCCCTGTCGGTTCAAGTACCGCAGCGTGGTGCCCTGCGACTTTGGGCTCAGCACGGAGGAGGTCAGGGCTCTGGGCGGGTGAGGGGACAGTAGAGGTGCCCAGAGTGCAAAAGGAAGTGTGTCCTCTTTACCAAGAGATGCTGTCACATCCTAGACATGACGGAGCAAGTAACACTACAGCATTGCTTGTCTTGAAGGGCAGCAAAGACTTTAAAACAGTGTGCCTTCCCTCTAAAAATAGTCCTCCTACTTGTATTCAGGAGCCCTGGTGGCCCTAGTGGCAAGAAAATGCAGTTCAGTCTTAAAGATACGTGGTTTGAATCCACCAGCTGTTGCCACAGGAGGATGGGCAGTCTCCTCAGAAAACCCACTGCAGGGTCAGCTGTGGGTCGGTTCCAACTTGAAAGTACACCACCACCACAGTTGTATTATTTACATCAGCATCAGGGTGGTGGTGCAGATTCAGCTCTAGAGCCAGATGGTCCAAGTTCAAATCCTGTACCCGCCGCTCCCCAGCTGTGGCATGTGACCTGTTTCCCTGTCTGTAAATCGGGCACAGGTAATAGTCCTGTCTCAGGGGTGTGGCCCTGTAGGGTGCCTGCCAGCCTGAGCACCCTCTGCACTTAGTCATGGTGGCTGTGACATTTAGCTGTTAATGGTTACTAAAATGAAATCATTGTGCTTTTACCACCTTCACCCACTCATGTAATTGTCCTGATGACCTTCCAGTAGGTTCTAAGAGACTGCTCATCCCATAAATGAGGACGTTGAGGCTTGTGGGGAGAGAGCTGCTAGCTGTAGGCTACCTACTTATGGACCGGTGGCAGCCTTTGGGGCACAGAACCTGGGTCCCACCTGGGCCCTGCTTGGATGGTGGTGAAGGCTCTGGGGTCCCTGACCCTGCACTGGGATAGGAAATTGGCCCATCCTGGCCATGTGATCTGGGATTTTCCCCATTTGATGCCCTGTCCCCATAAAATGGAGTAGCTTCCCCAGAAATCTCTTCTCCCTGCCATGGAGGCCTGCCAGCTGGTATGCTCACCTGGTCCCTGAGCACCTGAGGCTGAATGGTGACCCCAGATTCGAGCAGATAACCCCACCCTCCCTTCCCTTGCAGATCCTGACAGCTGACGACAAGGAGCTGAACCGCTGGTGCTCCCTGAAGAAGACCTGCATGTACAGGTAATGTGGGAGGGCCCAGCGGGAGGGCCGGCAGGTGCGGGCCCTCCCAGAGTGAGCAGCCAGCCAGACGTGCCTGCTGCTGTCCTCAGGTCTGAGCAGGAGGAGCTGCAGGACAAGCGGGCGTACAGCCAGAAGGCCCAGAACGTGTGGAAGAAGCAGCAGATCTTCAAGTCGCTCTGCTCAGAGGAGTGAGTGCCATGAGGAGGGGGAGGTGAACGTGGGAACCTCCAGGGCTGGAAATGAGGCTCCCGTCTCCATGCCCCTGCCATCGGGGTTCGGGTCCTGGCCTCATGCCCCTGCCATCGGGGTTCGGGTCTTGGCAGGGTCAAAGCTCTGTGATCTTGGGCAACTCACTTTCTTGCTCTATACTTTAGATTCTCATCTGTGTGTTAGGGATAAGAATGGTTCCCCCCCTAAGTTACACAAATTAAACCCAGCAAATGTACCATAGGTGCTAGTTATTGCTAATTCGTTCCTGTTTTAGGTCAATGTCAAGTAAAAATGTGTTCATTTCTGCAGATAGCTTAGTGATGCCCAGGCACACATACCAGTTATCAGCCTGGATCGCAGGCTGCCACCTCCATCACTGTGACCTTTTTGGACCTCACTTTTCCTCACCTGTACAGTGGGTTTATGTCCTTGGGAACAGGCCCATATTAACCAGCTTCTCTCTTCCAGGATGGAAGTGCCCTCGGAAGCCACAGGAAAGCCACAGAGCAACAAAGCCAGCCCGCAGGGGCAGCTGCCAGTGCCTGATGAGGCCCGTGGGAAACAACCCCAACCCGAGAGCCCCCCAGCACAGGAAGAGGGGGCCTCCACGTCAGCCCCTGAGAAGCCAGCCTCCCAGAGGCGGAGGCGGGTCAAGAAGGCACGTCTGCTGGGCCCCACGGTGACACTTGGAGGCCAGGAGTTCAGCCACCAGAGACTGCAAGCCTTTGGCCTCAACCCTAAGAGGCTGCACTTCCGTCAGCTGGGCCGGCAGCGGAAGAAGCAGCGAAAGGCCAAGGGCACCCCCTGAGCCCGGCTAGTGGGGGCTTCCCCTACATCAAGCTCCTGGGAGTCTGCTCTGTGGAACCTTACCGCTGTTCCTGGGTGAGGGAGTCTCCCCATCTTACAGATGTAGAAACCGAGGCTGAATTAGCAGGTGTCTTGATTCTGACACACTCTGGGCCCCATCCTTCAACACTCAGCCTGGGTACAGCCCACTGTGTTCACATCAGATAGCTTTATTAGCCCCACAGTCCTCCTTATCCCCTACTCTTGTCAGGGTGGGGGCTGCAGACTGCTGGGTGCAAAGGTCCAGTGCAAACTACAGTACTTGAATCAGGCCCTGAGTGGGTGGCTGGGATGTGGCCTATGCTTTCTGCCCCCTGGCTGAACAGCCCCAGTCTGGCCATTTCCTGGACTGGTGTCAGCTTGTCAAGGGGGTGAAGGGGGATGGATGGACCATCACCACCAGAGTTCAAGCTCCCACACCTAGTGTGACATAAATAAAAAAATAAAGTATCGCGTCTTCTCCCCCTTCCCTCCCCTCATAAAAACACGAAGTCCTCAGAGCTCGGCCGTTTGGCCTTGAGGAGCCGCCCTGAGCGAGGGAGCCTCAGCATCTGCTGGGAGCAGGGGTCATCCAGGTTCTGGTCCTGAGCGTGGCCCTCAGCCAGGGTGAACATGGGGTACCTCTCTGTGGCTGAGGAGGAGCTGAGAACCTGGTGGGAAGGAGGGTGTGGTGATTCAGCCTCTGTCTGAAGCACACAAACTTTCCTTGCAATCAGGGAACCAGGGGAAGCCAGTGAACACCTTCCATCCTCTGACTACAATGGTTTGCTCACTGGTTGGACTACAATGGTTGGCTCAGGCCAGCCAATGAATGACAGCCCTGGGACTGATTTTTTTTCCCCTTTTACTGGGCAGAGGCCTCCCTGCCCACTAAACTGGAAAGGTGGTTGGCAGCTGTCTGAAGTCTGGACAAGACAGTAGAGCCAAGAGACCGGGGTCCCAGAACCTGAGGCCCTGGACACAGCTGTACCCGAGGCACACTTGGCGTGTACACGTCTCCCATTTTGCTCTTATCAGAGCTGGAATTTTAACTTGCAAACAGGCCCTGACGGAGTACCCCACCATGGCCACCCCCTGGGTTTCAAGAGGGCTGTTAGATCACTTCCAGAATAGGCACCAGGGTCCCCCCAGGCTTCTGCTGTCTTCCCCCGAGTTCCACCTTCCTTCCTTCTCGCTCACCCTGGTCAGCTCTGAGCAGAGCCTCTCAAATTCCTTCTTGTCTCCAGCGTAAAACCCCACTGTACAGCTTGGGTCCATCTTGGCGAAGGCCATCTTGCGGGGTGAGGTGCAATGGAAGGACTGGGGGCAGACAGAAAAGGGAGGCTCAGGGTGCTGCAGCTACCCCTGTGTCCCTGAGCCCACCCTGGGGTCCCAGCTCACCTCCAGGGGAAAATCAGCCTGGGTGACATCCACGCTGGGCTGGCAGTAGTGTGGGTCCAGGTAGAGGAGGAAGTCATCTGCTGGGGAGGGGAGGCATGAGTGGGGGCGGGGAGGGGGAAGGTGTGGGGTGTAGGGCAGGACCTACCCTGGTAGCCGATGAAGTACAGGGAGTGCCGTGGCTTGCCACCCATGATGCCCAGGCACAGCTCGGAACGCAGGAGCTCCTACAGGGAGGAGAGTGGGCAGAGACTGAGGGCTCCGGGGAGATGCTGTCAAGCAGTCACTCAGCAAACATGGGGTGAGCGTCTACACGCACCAGGCACGCCCTGGGTTAGGAGACAACAGCTCTGAGATGAACAGAGCCCCTCCCCTCTGGAGCTGACATTCCAGCATGAACAGGAACAAGATAAGGGAGGGAGGTAACTGTTACCAGAAGCAGTTGACACCAGGGAATGAGGGGGCAGTGTTTCCAAATGGAGACTTTAAATTAGGGGCTTGGGGAAGGAAGGCCTGAGAAGGTAAGGCTTGAGCAAAGACCTGAAGGAGGTAGGATGGAATCCCATGGGTGGGGGAGAGGGCTCTAAACAGCAGTGCAAAGGCCCTGAGGTAGGTGTGTTCTGAAGAGTGAGGGGACCAATGTGGCCAAAGCAGGAGGAACTGGGGGGGCTAGGGGGACACATTAAGTCAAGGAGGGGATAGAGGCAAATGGTGCAGGGACTTTTGAGCCTAGGAAGGATGCTGGCTTAGGTCTGAAAGCAAACATTCCAGGGTCGTCCTTGACCCTTGTGGTTCCCTCTCAAAGGAGCAAAAGACACCCCCACCCCCCACCCATCAGCCTGTCACTGTTAGCTAGCTCCCTTCAGAGTCCCAGCTATGGTGCTACAGGTGCCCAGTGATTTCACCACTTGTCATTATGATGTCCGCACCTACGGGCTGGGATTTCAGTGCGTTGTGTCTGCCTCATGCCCAGGACAGTGCGTGGCATAGGAAGTGTCCCACAGCTACTAACAGATGAGAGGCTGAAGGATGTACACACGGCCCTGACTGTACCCACCTTCACACAGGGCACGTACACGGGGTTGAGAGTCTCGCCGCCCAGCCGCACAGGCACCAGGATGACCACAGACTTCCATTCGGCAGTGGGGTCTGGCCTGGCCAGCAGGCGTGCTACGTCCGCTTTGTACACTGAAGGGACAGAGGAACATTATCACCCAGCGTCAAGCCCCACAGTGGTGCCCCCTGAGCTCAGGAGCCCAGCAGCTGTCAACATAAAAGAGCTGCTTCTGGGTGCCTCTAAATTCTCTGGACAATCCGGTAATTCCAAGGAGCTGCGGACATGCCATTTCACAGACATGGCAGCTGAGGGCCTGAAATCATGGTGAAGAGCATAAAGCCGAGATGCAGAACCCTTTCTGCAGAATGACAGACCTGGCTTCTAGTGACTCAGCATCTCGGTCTGCCAATAAGCAAATGCAAGCCCCAAGCCACGTGCTCCCAAACGATCACCCTGCGTGGGTCCCTCCTCCTCAGGTCTCCAGCCTTCTCCCTCCTTGGACGCTACATGCCGCCATCGCAGAATCAGTTCGTACTCCTAGAGACATTATATGACAGAGCACACCCGCGGGGTTGCCAAGATGGCAATCTTTACAGAAGCAGATGGCTGGGGCTTCAAAACGCCTACCTATTGGTCTGCAGCCAACGGCTTTACCACACTGTCCCCAAGGTTCACCTAGGATAAGGTGAACCGAAAGCCAAATCTTTTAGCCATCAAGTTAATTATGACTCGTCGTGACCCATCATCAGGTTTCCTGAAGCTGTAAATATGGCAGGTGAAAGGCTACCTTTTTCTCCCAAGGATTTGAACCACTGGCCTTTTGGTTAACAGCATAACGCGTAACAATAAGCCAGCAAAGCTTTAAGGTAGGGTCTCAAACTCAAACGATGACTTGCAACCGACTCATAGCTGATCCTCCAGTGGGTTTTCTGAGGCCGTAAATCACGAGGGTGGATATTGCCCGTCTACTCCCCAAGGAACCACTGGTGGGTCTGAACCGCCAGGGAGACGACACCTTTGGCTTTAGCAGGACAACTCCCAAGTTGTCATTAAGCACCATCGAGTCAGAACCAATTCAGCTGGTCCTCCGGCGGGCTTTCAGGTGCAGTGAACCGCACGGAGGAGAACGCCTTTCTCTCTCATGTGGAGCAGCTGGTGGATAGCAGGGACTAGCAGATCCACAGCTGATCTGTCGAGAAGGCCTCACTGTAGGAGTTTTACATTTACTTCTAAGGACAAGTAGAGGAAGTGCGTACACTTTAAAACTGCTGCCAGAGGGAGCTCTGGTGGCCTAGTGGCAAGAAGCAGCGTTGCAATCTCAAAGGAGAGTGGTTTGAATCCACCAGATGCTCCGCTGGAAGAGGAGGGGCAATCTCCTGTGTGCTGGTCAGATCCGATTTGATGGTACACAAGAAAATCAAAACAAAAACTGCTGCCAGAAGAGTGAGTGGGACCTGGGAGAATAAGGCCTCTTGTTCTCTATTCACTGTCATGTCAGAAGAGATTCCTTAAGCTTGAATCCTTTCTTAGTGTCCCCTGGCCCAGCCTTGGGGGCAGTGACAGGCGCAGACTCCCAGGCGTCAGCCTTACCTGTGCAGTCCTGAGAAACGTACACCACCAGGCGGGAGACCTCTGAGCAGCTCTCCACAGCTTTCCTGGGGGTGCGAGGGGAGGCCTGAGTTCCTGGGACACCCACTGGCTCCCCTGTTCCCTCCAGCGGCTCTTGTCCTCACCTGAGGATGTGTGCCACCACCGATGGCCCATACCAGTCACCCGCCTTCTTGTCTGAGCTCTGCCCGAGCTCCACCAGCCTGTGCAGCCCAAAGGGGGCCTGGGGGTGGTCTGCAAACCAGGACACGATCTGCCGGTGCTGGTGCTCCTGCTCCAGGGCCAGGCTGCCCTGGGCCCGGTGTGGGGGCATCCGGTGGGCAGGGCCATGGTACCGGCTGGGGGAGGTTGACCTTGACAGCTCAGGGGGCCCCAGGCTTGGGCCCTCAGCCCACGTCCAGTCTGGTAGGAGTGGGGACACAGTCAAATGTTAGGGGGGGTGTGGGGGGACATGGTTCCATTTACTCCTCATTTACACATAATTCTAATGTTTCTAGAACCCCATTTGAGCTATAATTCTGCTCTCTGAAACTATAACCAACCCTCATTGCCTCCAGATTTCAGTCTGCACACATTCTAATGTATCTGCAAACTTGGCATCTATTCCCAGCACTAACACTCACGACAGGTGTGGCTGGTGTCCCCTCCCTGCTGGCACGGCTCACCTCGGGGCAGAAGGTGCAGCAGCAGGCCCTGGGCCAGCATCATCTGTCCGCTGCGTAACATGCACCCCCAGCCGCAGTCCGAAGTCAGAAAGCCCCCCGAGAGCGGAGGAAAGTCCCGGCGGTAGGTCAGCCATAGGCGGGAAGCAAAGTCACGCTGGAAACGCTGGATGTCACCTAGGAGAGCCAGCCTGTGAGCTGCAGACTGAGAGACACCCCTGCGAGGTCTCCTCAATTCTGATCCCAGCCACCAGCTCACCCTCGCCCTCGAAGCGGTAGCGACGGCCACAGAGGTAGACACTGGAGATCTTGCTGAAGCTGGTCCGGCTTTTGACAGCCCAACCTGGGGAGATGTGGGGGGCAGCACCCAGTAAGGCGACACACTCGCTAGACAGACACAAAACACGATGCCATTCCCAATCTGGGGTATGGGAGGTCGATCCCAGTTCCTAACTCACGGTGGTGGGGGTGGGGGGGGACGGGTAAAAGAGGAACAAGAATGCCCAGCCCCATGGAGGCAATTACACATGTGTCTGTTATGAAGCCTGAATTAAGCAAGGCTGTTCCTTTTAACGCACCCATTTCACAGAAGGGGAAATAGAGGCGCAAAGAAACAAAGGCACTTTGACCAAGGTCATCAGAGGTGAATACATTCCTGTCCGACTCACGCAGGTCCGCCCTTGGGCTGGGCAGGGCGGGAACCCACAGGTGAGTCACGGGAGAAAACACGGTGTTAAAACAACGGGCTCCCCGATCCCCGCCCACCTGGAAGCCCCCCCTCGGGCCGCCCCTGACCCCTTCTCACCGTACTTGACGTTGTTCCAGGCCGTCAGGAACTTCGCCTTGAACTTGTCCACCTCGTCCGGCTCCCCGGGAGC